TCCATTAGGGCCTGTATAAATCCGATGCTGGAAGAAGCTGACACGATGGAGAATGCCGCCACAGCAATGCCAGGCACTCGCAGCGCCTTGCGTACTCCGCCTGTAACAAACACCACATGGTTCGCTTTATTCGGCGAGGGGCTCATCACCAAATGTCAGTCACGCCCATTGTTAGAACAAAGCTGTTTTCCTCGCCTTCCCCTTTCGCCCCCGCCCATCGCCGACCGCACCCTCGCTGACGAACATTTAGGGAAAGCTAAGGCCAGGCTGAAAGGAAACTGACGAAATCCTTTGCTCATACTTGATGGAGTAAGTTGTAAACTGAACCATGAAGGAACTCTGATACCTTTATGATGTGTTTGCAACTGGTGCGCCTGCAAAAAGGCTGCATTCCGTGCGATTTCGGAATTTCCCAAACAACAGGCTTGACATAAACTACTTCCAGATAAATACCAGCTTGGATGTCTGGTGGGGGAAAACTGTGTTTCGATATTCTCTTTCCGTTCAACACCACAAGATCTTTGCGCTGGCCCGCCAAACAGGGACAGTGCGGCTACTTCCTCACACTTTTCACCATTATACGGCCATGTGGGCGTCTTTAACACTAGCATGTTAGCATACAAGTGGTCCAAAGGCGGCAGGACATAAAACAGAGACCAGCTGGCTGTCGGCGAGGTTCGGTGAGACGCCACGACGCGTGCCATTAGTGCCCATGTTTCGGGACGATGATTGGGGAGCGGTGTTCTGCCTCGTCTCGGGGCTTAACATGTCACGCATTCCGACGCTTCCGACGCTCCTGTCAGCCATCAACGCTCCGGTAGACAACGTTCACTGGAATACCGAGTGGTGCTTTCCAGAGCACCGCTGGTTCTGGAAGCGGTGCCTTCCAGAGCCGGACACACGTCGCTCTTTGAAAACACGGTGATAAAACAAAGTTACATTGGTGTTAAATTCTAAAGAAATGCTATTTTGTAGATCACTTCGTACCTGAACGGGGGCGCGCACGATATGGATCAGCTTATGCGATAAATCCACGCGAGTAGGGACCAGAGGCGCACCAGAGACCCCGCGTCCTCTTGGCCAGTCCAGGGCCTCTTGCCCTCGACCTCCCAAATTCGTCCCTTTCGCTTATTTTCTGCTACGTTACGCACGGTAAAACCACATGCGCACTTGATGTGCATGACTTGGCCCGCATGTTTCTTTTTTTAACTGGGGCGCAGTTGATTAAAGGCTCCAGTTGGTGGTTGGGGGTCGTCGCCCTAGACTGGGATACAAGCACACAGTAGGGAAGATATATGCATACTTAAATGAACCAGTAGACGATATAACTGGTGATAAGTGGATACTTTAAGTGTATCCATGTACAACCCATAAATCAATTATCATGTAATCATACGCAGTGCTCATAACTTTCTTTGCGCATCGTTTGGGATCCGTTCAGACCAGTACGAAAGGTGGATACAAACTGAAAGGGAGCAGCGGACATGTAACTCATTGGCATGTGGATATACCTAAGCCTACGCATATCATATTTATGTGACGACCCAAATCAACGACACCACGCCACCCAAATCTACTAAACTCAAGACCAGCAACTCCGTCATCTCAGTAAACGCACACTTAGTTACAGCTGTTTGAGACCCCTTGTTATGAACCGTCTCGAGATCCCCCAACGCCAGCGCACAATGTGCCTGGGTACAAACTCGCACTGAGCCTGAGGCTGGCGTCCTCGCGCCACCCTGGGCGCGCCGAGCACGGCTCTGGCAGCGCGCTCACCGCCCTTGCCGTCCTTGCACGAGTGGTCGTCGTGCTTCGGTAGGACGATGAACGTCAGAATGGCCGTGAAGAACAGCACGCCGCCGAGGCTGACGAAAGGCAGAGTGTATCCACCGACCTGCAAAGCGGGCAGCGTCCCAGTTAGCGGCCGGCTCTGCGCAGTCCCAGTTAGCAGCCGGCTGTGCGCAGTCAGCAGCGAGCACTCTAAAGCATGTTCAGCTTTGCTGAAACTGGGGCGAGCGCGTACGCGCTCCAGTTGCAGGCAGATTGCCCTGCTTTTAGGACTGTGAGGCGGGTCGAATCGACACGTATGTCATATCGGCAGGGTTTTAGCCGGCGCAAAACAGTCTTGTCGTTGTGCCAAGTCTTTGTTGGCGACATATTGATGCGTGGGAAAATACTGGCCAGCTCTGTCATGACGAAAAAAGAGGCGACGACACTGCGACACTGCCTTGTCATTCCAAACATTCAGCCATCTGGTTTCTGCACAAAGCACGGCGCCGCACCAGCCAATGGATTAAATTGCCTAACACTACTCTGGGGGGGGGGGGGCCACATGATGATTATGATGTCATCCTAGATCGGTTATGGATGACTGAAAATTTGGTACCGCTTCTATATATGCATATATTCATATATATATATATATATATATATATATATATATATATATATATATATATATATATATATATATTTGTGTATACATCAGAGGATCACTTGACATCAGTGGAGAAAACCCTTCCGAGGAGCAAACCAATTTAAATACCTACAGTACACTCTCCTCATGCATGCAACTTTGTTCAGCTGCGCAGTTCCTGCGATGCCCGGCCTGATGGACAAGCTGTCGCTGTGGCTAGCGTGGCTTACCGCTCTGAACGGTACCTCGTCAGCCCCAAATCTAGTAAGAACTTATGAACACTAGACCTATGGCAGCAATGAATGGGCGTGAAAAGCCCCGGGCAAATATTCAAATGCACGGGAAGCTAGACAGCAAACGTCGATCCTGAAAAATAAACAACGAGGCGCCGCTTGAAACGCAGCAGCGTCAGCTAGAAACGGCGCAGGGACACCATGCAGCTGTGCGGTACGGTGACCATGGGCTGCCGAAGAGGCTCCAGCCTGGATCCAGGAGTTCTGAGGAGGCCCGACAGGATTTGTCGGCTCTGAGTAGGCTCACGGAATCTTAGTGGATCCCTGAGGCAAGGAGACCTCGCACTCCAGGGGCCCTGACGCTGCGGGGTGCCGGGGCTGTCCGAAACCCGCCGACGCGGTTCGTCACGGATCGCCCGGCCCCCAGAGGTGTGCGTGGTCAGGCCGGCGCCGCGCACGCCCACGGAGCGGGAATGGCGCGTGCTACCGGCGGCGCTGCAGCGGGCGGGGGAGGGGGGCGGGTAACAGGTCCTGGGTGCGAGAGAGGCCCGGGAGGGGGGGGGGGGGGCGAGGAGCCGAAGCGTGCGGCGTCACATGCATGAAATTGAGAGGCGTGAGCAGAACTACGGGGCCAGAGTCAGATTACAAGAACTGAGCTTGGGTTCATGCGCGCGGGTCTACGGCAACAACAGAGGTCAGGAGGGACCGGAGTCTGGTGCGGAGGGCTGGGGAGGAGGCGCTCGCTGCGTAAACGTATGCGTTAATGAACGGATGGGATGGGAGTCTAGTGAGCTAGGGTTATGTTGCGAAAACGATGTCAACTGGTCGTTACCAGTACTAGCACGCTACCATTCATTCCCTTGTTGAGATTAGCACAAGATTCTAGGCAGATAAAATTTGGAGAACTTAGCTCGTGGTAAATTGTGGTCTGTGGCCGTGATGCAACTATCCCCTCTCCTCAGGTCTGTTCGACTGATGTGGTGATTGGTCTGGTTACACTAGACATCGCAGCCTAACGTGGTAGCTTTGTAATGATCGTTTTCATCTCTCTTTTTAAATTGGTGTATCTTTAAGCTTACGACCAATGGCACTAGCAGTCGTTTCCTGCACCCATGTTTCTCAGCTGGCTGTGGAGCTGTGGGTCATGGAGCCTTTTGGCACTCTTTTTGGTGAAGCTTCCATATGCCGGAGTGTGAATTGCACGTTCATAGTTCCTTCGGTCTGAGCCTGCTTTGATTTGTTTCTGCATGGGTGAAATCAAACAACTGACAATCTGCGCTGAAGCCACTGGGGCCTGGACTGTGCCGACCCCATTGGTGGCCACGCCCATGCTCCCATG